TGTTGGGGTTTTAAAAGCTCAAACTTACCAAAAACTTCCACCAGCATGGTGGCATGAGGTAACATGCGAACCACCTACTTCGATCTCAAATTTACCACCACAAATAAAGACAGTTGCCATTGGAGAAAGGAAATACGAATCTCAAAACTTCTTGTATTGTGATGAAGACATAAAACAGTTTTGAGGAACGCGCCCGCTGTTCACTGCTTTGGAGTAGCTGTAGCTCAAGCTGACTTGACTCTAAGAGTTTGACATCACACGACGATTGGTTGACAAATGGTCCAGAGGGACCTAAGGCTCCTTTTAAAGTGCGCCTTCATGTTTAAATACAATTACAATACATACATTAGGTGTTGAACAGTCTTTTGGAAACTGCTCTGACAAGCACTGGTTAAAGTACTCACCATCATCTTAGAGAAGAGTTTCTCCCAGTTAAGTACTTTCCTTTCTTGGGCTAGCCTTTCACTCTACATCCACAAGAAGGATTCAAATAGAAAGTAATTATTAAGACAATAATAAAAATTAAAATTAAGTGTACCAGAATTGCAACTATTCAATTATTCTGAATATAAATTTTGGAATTCTAGGGGAAGAATTTTAAGATTCATACAACTTTTCAAGTTGCAGTTAAATTCAAATCCAAAACAGTTTTCTAGAGCAGAGCTTAAAATTTTCTTATTAAAGCACCTACGCTGTATTTGACAAATCACTATCATAATGGCTACAGAAAGCTTTATACTTACCTGAATTCCAACCAGCACCAGCTTTTGTAGAGCCACATTTAACTGCCTTTGCTTGCTGTAAATCAAGAAAAAACATAACCAGTCAGAGTGAAGTCCCAGTCTTAACCCTTTAAAAATTCCTAGTTTAATGCACCCTTCCCTTGATGACCTAATAAATATTTTCTAAAACTGCACGATATCAGCTTAAGAGTCATGACCTGCAATGCCAACCTGACTGACAAGGTAAGATTACCAACCAAGTATTGCACATTTTGTATTTTAAATTATTGCAGCTGATGTTTCCCTTTCTGTCTCTAAATCACACCCCAAAAGATATTTTTCACTTTAATGTCACACTTCAACTCTTAAAATCTTTGGGCTTTCTCCCTGATATGATTAGAAATGACTCTCCCCACATTTCTTATCAAAATTTTATTGAAACACAAATCATAACATTTCAATTTCAAGACTAACATTCATTTTCCACTTCACATGGAGGCAGCTCTTCATAGTTCTCAGCTACAGTCTCATGCAGTGAATTGATCAGGTCACATAACACCATATGCGACATATTTTTTTTGTGTCATACCCACACCAATTGACTGTGAACAAGTCTCACAGCCTGAGATTTTTTTATTCTATCATACATAGCATGATGTTTAGAGACAGCTTTACACAATTCAACTGCTTAATAAATGATCACATTTAGTTATGATCAAAGTACTAACTTTTCATAATCCTCATGCAACTTCTTTAATGCAGCACTCTTAGTTTCCCAAGGTGTGGAGAACAACTTGACCATTCTCACCAACTCAGTGATTGGTACACTAAGATCAGATGAGCTAATGAAAAGAATTTGAGCATCAGCCATAATTCCTCTCTTTCCTATGATGAAAGTCTTAAAAAAAACCTTTGGGTCCTCTCTTCCCTTAATTCAGTGAAAGTCTTAAAAAGAAAATATCAACTATGCTTTTAACCTCTCCATGTACAATGTACATTCTAACGTCAGCAATTTCATATTATCTATACTGTTGGTTACACATTTCCTACAAGGAGAATCTAGTTGAAAATCAAGAGTGTTTTAAATTTTTGATCATTTCTTTTATTCTTGTGAGCTTAATGGTTGATTCATCCTGATACCTTTCTGAGAATTTAAAACCTGTTTGTATCAGTTAAATCTGCTTACAAGCTTAAAATACCAGACTGAGTATGTTACTGTAAAAGTTACAGTACTATACCTTCTGAACAATTTCCCAGTGACCAGTGCCACCTTCAAGAGCAAACTGGGTGGCAATGCATGCTGAAAATCATAAAAAAAAAATCCTTAAGAACTCTTAAGAGGAATCCACACTAGGTTAGTACCACTTGTAAACATATGGCCTAAAGGATTTTTAGTCATTTAATCAACAGATAGATTCCATGTTGCCTTGCATCTGTTCAGATCTGTTCAGTGGTAGATCAGAAATTTTTAGTGTTAAATTCATCTATCCATCTGTTCTCCATTAGATCATAGTAACCAATAAAAATGAGTATAAAAAAAACTTTTACCAAAGCAGAGGTGGCTAATATGGTATATCCACTGCTAGTCACTCAGAGGTGAATAATTGTTTTTAATTAGTATAATTTTCTGTACCAGTGAAATAATAGGGCACAAAAAGATAATTTTAACTAATTTACTCCTGCAATGATTCCAGTGCAAGATGCTCAGAGGTCAACAGTAAAGGATGTTCTGAGTTTAAGCAGCCAATCATAATGCGTGCCTTCAATCCTATCCACTGTTTTGGTAATTATCCTAATTTAGTTATTACATGGTGTCTGATGGAATTATTGTCAAGTCTTCATCCTCATTACCTTTAACAGCTCATCTTTTATTGCTAGTAACTGATAAAGAGAAACAATCAAAGAGCATTGTTAGAAGGTGACCAAAGCATCTATAATTCTTTAACCCATTAATGCATGGCGGCAGCTTTTGTGAAAAGCTGTGTTCTGAAGCTAGTCGAGCAGATTTCGGGTCACTGTTGGGGTTTTAAAAGCTCAAACTTACCAAAAACCCATTGACAGCCTGTACACTCGACAGCCTTTCAATCCAAATGCAAAATGGCGGCCTGAAAATCTCAGGCACGCGCAGAAAGCAAAATTTCGAGATAGTTTTTGAGTTGAAAAGTGAGGCCCCACTTACGACTTTTACTTTTCTCCCTTTCTCCTGCCCTTTTTTTCCCCTCTCCTTGCCTGAAGTTTCTCCTCACTTGCTTGAAATTTAGTAGGCTTCATTTTGGTGTAGAGATTTTTTAGGAAACTACTCATTATTTTCAAACCACAGCCTCAGAAAGGTAGGTGGGTAATGGAACAAGATTTTCGTGCAGATTTTCAGGTCAAAGTTACATGGTATTTTGGCTATTTCTCCAATCTCCTTCACTCAATTGTGCTCATTCTGGTATTGTTTGTAAGATATTTTCAACCGGTTCAAGTACATGCTCAAAGTTGTGCTCCAGGGTTAAAAGTGATGACGTCACAAGGCATAGAAAGGGTGTGAGTCCACATGGGTGCATACGGGCGCACTGGACGTCAATAGGTTAATAAAGGGGGTAAGTTTCCAAAGGAACTGTGGTGCCGCATCAGTGGGTGGTAATTTGGTTTAATCGGCCAAGTTGATAGTGTAACTTCGCCACTGTAAAGAGTCTCAAAGCTCACAAAAGGCTAACGCTTAAAAGCTCAGCTTTGAAACTCCTTGCAATGGCCAGTTTATTACATTTATTTAACAATTCAATCGATAAAACCAAAATTACCTCATTGTTTAATTAATTGTTCATACACAGATCATTGTTGAATATTACAGGTATCAATTTACATAATATATCGATTACACTGACTAAACTAAAGCTTAAAAAGTTCAACTTTTTCAAAGTTGCCACTTGGCAATCCAAAAACACAAAATGGATGATAGCATTAAAATTTTAGATAAATGAAGTAAACAAAAGTTGGAAAAGGACATTTTGTGCAATATCATAAATGCGTATCTTCTGGGCAAATATTAACTTAACACCATAAATGATCAGTGATAAAAGCAGCACAGCTTAATTGCTGCACATTACTGCCACACCACTATTTTTAAACCACATGTATCAATTTTTACCAAATTTTATTGAGACCACTGACCTCTGAAAGGGAAGTCTGGAATAATGCCAGGCAGTTTTGCACCCCCTCACAAAGTGCTTTGAATTTCTGTTGTTCTTCATGTGGTGTTGATGTTCGCTATAAATTAGATGATTAAGTGTAAAAATATCCGGTGAAAATGTACAGGAATTGTATGGCAGACCGTCAGTGGTCAAAATTTGCTGCAGACTCACTCGGCTGTGCCTTGCAAGTCCACAACATTTTGACCATTGTGCTGATAAATAAACCACTGTCGCTTTGATAACTTGACATTTAAATTCACTTCGGATCACACAAAGTTTCAAAATCCTCACCTCCCTTTCAACAGTATCTAAATTAGAATCTGCTCTTTGAATTGAAGATTCTGCAAATTCAGGAACTGGTTCCAGAGATGAGCTTGACTTCTTCAATATACCTATGTCAAAAAAATTGGTTCAAAGCGATTAACCGTCCTTAAAATAAGATCAATTGTGTATCTAGATCAAAATCTATCTATCTATATATAAAGATTAACCTCAGGTTTTCGTTTTCAATGAGGGAGCAATTTACATGAATTTTTAACGCCACTTGAATGAACCACTTCAATAATTGCATGCTCTTCCAATTTTGAAAGAAAGGTTCAAACGAATAAAGTCTTGACTCTTATGATGACTTCCGCGCAAGTTATGGAAAAGTTAGTCACTGCCACCAATTTAAAACCTGCTTTTATATACAGAATAATTCTCACTTTGAAGATCCCTCTACTCTATCGAAAAAGATCAGTGCTTTTGTTTTATTCATTACAGTGGATTTGTATATAATTTAAAGCTAAAATGAAAAAAAAGACGCCATTCTCGTTTTACAAGTAAACAATAATATCCGAAAACTAAAATTTTTGAATAACGCACTGTTTCCTTATCTGCCGTTGATTCACTAATTGTTTGAAGTTTGATGCGGTTGCTAGAAAAAAGCAGGGTGCGTTAAAGAGAAACGTTAAGCCCAATAAGAAGTCCCACACACAACATATTAGAAGCGTCGGGAACATAATAAAAATAATAAAACATTTATCAGAGGGATAATACGAACACAGCCTCCGCCATAAAATAGTAATGAAGCATGCTCCCACCTGTTCGTTTGGGGAGAGTTTCTTGTTTCGCTGCAGCTGCTGGAGGTTTAGATTTTTCCACCATGTCGAGGAAATGAGCTTCAACGAAAACGATTTCTGTCCGGAGTTCCTGTTACGTACTAAGGTGATTAACACTTCTTATCAAAACAACCAAAAAATGCAAGAACTCTCCGCCATTAGTCAATTGTGAGGTAGCTGTTGTCATGGTAGCAGATCTTGTTTATTCAAAAATCGCAGCCGCTGACAAAGATGTAGGTCTGCAAAGCATACAAATTCTTTCTGGGCGGTCTTTAGTGGATTCATGCACCTCTGTGCCTATTAATTAATGAGTAAATTCCATCATTACTCCATTTTATCATATTGGGCGTGGGAAAAAATATGTCACGGCATTACACTACAGAACAGGACAAACATACTGATGACAATTGTGGTACCATTAACTGAGTTGATAAAGTAAATTGACCACCGTAAAGAGTTTCAAAGCTGACGTTTTGTGATTCCAAGATGGCTCCCAAACCCTGAAAATTGCACAGAAAACGGAAAGAAGCGACACGAACAGTATATGTTCTCACTGACGAGTGGTTTGGTCTCTCACTTCACCTCTCTTGACTTCGCTTGAGCTCTGTGATATGATATGGACTCGTGTTTTCGTTCGAGTTTATCACTCTAAAGACATCCAGAGGAAAAGAAAGGATGAAACAGAGGAAGAGCCTCAATTGTTACAGTTGTGTGGCATAGACTTTCTCAAAAAAATATATTAAACCTTTCCTTCGTGGATTTCCCGAATCTGTTCGATAATCGTTATATTTCATTACAGAAGACTTTGCGTGTCAGGGTAAGATAACGAAATGATTCCTTGTGTATGTGGAGAATACAACAAGATGTATGGCTGAACATGTTCAAAACGGATTTACATAGGCATATGATCCTCTTTTCTAGCTAAGGAAAAAAATTAAAAAAAAAAGTATAACAGTAAAAAAAACAGTGATTTTCACGGAGATCACGCTTTGATCCGGCCAACGGCAAGACATTTTTCTCCCCTTGCTAATTTACAGTTGATAACAGCTGGAGCTATTGAGAAACCGAAACGTTATGTAAGAGGCCATTACTGAGATTCAGAAAGCCTCTAGTTTAGAATTAGGCCAATTGCGAAACTGTTGATAAGATCGATTTCTTTTTCCTGCTATGTGCGCGAACCCGGTACAGTTACAAACCTCCTCAAACGATCTGAACTGGCACTCATTAGAACTGAGACGCAAAATTACGAGACTTACTATCATGTACAAGATGGCGAAGGAAAAAATTGCGGTCAATATCCCGGAGTACATAGCGCGCTCCACACTTGTTACACGCTCCTACCATAGCAGTAAATTCATTAATATTGGCAGTAACAGTAATACATATAAGTATAACTTATAAAAGTATGGAACACACTACCTTCTTTTTTATTAGACCAGCCATCTATGGAAGATTTTAAATCTACTATAACGAATTATCTTAGTTCTCTCCACTGATTTTGTATATTTATTATCATTATTATTTTTATTCATGTATTTACTTATATCTTCTTGTAACGTTATAGCGCCGCTTTTTTCTTGTAGTTTTTGTTTTTGATATGCAAATTCCCGGTGATGGGAAACCTTTGTGAATTATAGTATATAAATAAATAAATAAACAAATAAACAAAACCCACTCGCACAAGAAAATCCTCGCATTTGGCTTCCTTTTGAAAGTAAGGTCGATCCTTAGAGTCCACGGAAATGGCCCCTCCTTCTTTAACTAATTCTCATTTCAACATAAATAACATTTTAATAAAAATATATTTACGATTACAAATAACAACATCGCGACAAAAAAATATAAAATATGTATAGAAATACTGCGCAAAAAATTAACGGATATACGTTGCGGTTTGAGTGATTTGAAAAAATTAAGCTCAGGTTTTTCGTGTTCATATTTGTCTGTTCTGAACCATCCTTGCCAACTCTTACATATTCCTATATTAGTAGTTCCCTCTATGTAAAGGAGATTTTAGACGTCGCAGAAAGCAACTTGAAATAATGAGATAAACGGCTATACACGCTGACTCCACAATAAAGTCAGTAATAAAAGTCTTTAGGCACTCCAGTTACTAGGGCATCATTAGGCGCGGTATGGGATATCTTTACCATTTACAGGATATCCATCTTCGTCGCGGCTGGGATGAGTTTGGGACGGGTGAGGCTTTGTGTCATTCGTTTCCCCCCTAGAGAAAGAATTTGGGGACGGTCCAGTATTCTTCGTCCTCATTCTGTGCTCCAAACCATTACCATTCGTTTCAACCTCCCAACGCGTGTTTTCGTGAGTCGGATGAACAGGCTGCATTATGCTGACGGTTCACGTAGTTGTCTCTTGGGAATCTCTCTCTTGTCCTGACAGCTTGAAACGGGCTCAACTTAATGTCTGCTCGTCCGACGATCTCCTTTTCTTCTTTCTTTGAACAGTGAATACACCAGCCTGTAAAACTGCTTTAAATATTGAACTCCTAACTAAAATGGTAGCGGTGATCTCTGTCATGAGATTACTACAATTCCAAATAGGGAATTTTCCGTATCAGCTCCTGAATTTCATTTTCTGTGCCTCCACTTTCGAATAGCTTGTGATGCATTGTTTATTGTTGAAATCTGTGAGTTATTCAGATACCATTTTCACTCTTATTGATACCGTTATAGCGATGTTTTTCTCTCCATAAGGATGCTACCTTTTATGTCTATAAAAATTCGACGTATCAGCTCGTATCAGTAACCCTGAAAAGCCCATTTTGGTTTTGAGTGTGTTTTGAAGCATAGCAACGTCTAATGGGTCTTTAGGATAAATATGTGTTGTAAATTCATCATTCACCGTCTTGCAATACAGCGTGATGGGCTGCCTTCGTATTAAGGCAAAAAACTTTTTTTTACAATGTTAGAATTCATATTTTTCGTTGCTCAAAAGCTGTAATTATTTTTGGTCCAGTCACATCTTCGGTAAGAACGTTTCAGATTCTCTGACACGCTGTAACCAATGAATAGGTTGCACATGTGCGTCAAGAAATGACTTCCTATGTGTCATATGTCGCTATTCTCAGCTTGTATTTTGTTTTCTGGTAGTGAGTGACTCTAAAAATCTACGATTTTCTCTTTCTAAAATAACTAGGTGAGTGCGTGATAGCTCACAATTGTTATTTAGCATAATGACTTTTCCGCATTTGGCAGCGGAACTGAATCGCGGAGAGAATTTTCCTCAAGCTCGGGAGAGTTGATGAATCTTTCATTTCCCGGTTTCGTAACACTAGCACGGCGCAAAATCTAGACAGAAAACAAATTTTTGATGACACAAGTAAGCTGATCGCCACTCTATAAACTTTGGGTCGCAAAAAATGCTGTAAACAAGAAAATAAATCGCACAACACCAAGTTGAACACCATCAAGTTTCTGTTAGGGCGAGATTGGGGGAAAACTAGCTGTAGAGGGTGCCAAGCCTAGCGAAAGGCACAAAGGACTCTACACTCGTCCTTTTCAGTCTTGTTCAGAATATCAGTTCTCTGATATCCTTCTACTTATGGCGGTTTCACTTTTCTCACTTCTCTTGTCTTCGACAACTTTGACTGTTGTGGTCAATCGAACCACAGACAGCCCAAGCTCTCTTTAAGAACCACACAAGGAACATAATTTGCATATCGATTTATAAGGAGTATTCTCTTTAATAATAATAATAATTTAATATTTATACTGCGCAAATTAACATGTCGATATGATCAAATGCGCATCACAACACTGTTCGGGGGACTTTGACCAGACTGCATCAGCAGTTTACAAACAATCGAAGGAAACTTATTTGAAGATGCCCCCTCCCCCCAATTCCCAGTAAACAGGTCAGACCACATCACAGTAATCTCGTGAGTGGGTTCTTTAACGTCCCCTGCCTAACCAAATTATCTAATTAATAGATATTATATTAATAGATGGTTTCGAAGGCTGTCACAGCCGGGAAGTGGGCTGTGGGGGTGGGCTCCCACAGCCTCTCGAAGTGCTTCCCACGGCGTGCGTCTCAAATAGCCTCTGACAGTCATAGTCCAACTCCTGGCCTCCACGCGGCGAAACTGGCACTACTGACAGGAGAAGGGGCGAAGGCGAGTCACTGGCGCCTCATAACCAGTTGC